CCACGGGATGGGAGGCGGGTGCCCCTCATGCCATCCTTCCCTCTGCAGGCCACGCAGCTGGACTCAGCCTTCATCCGCAAGGAGCCGTACGGGGTGGTGCTCATCATCGCACCCTGGAACTACCCCATTAACCTCCTCCTGGTGCCGCTCATTGGGGCCATCGCTGCCGGTGAGGCTGGGCTGTGTCCCTGCCATGCCAAGGGGGTACCAGAACCTCACTGGGAGGTGTCTTGGATCCTCCCTGGGGTGGGAATGGGGTGAGGGTGGTGGGGCTGCACTGGGGGCAGGTCTTCTGCTCCCCAAGAGTGAGGTCCTTACCAGGAGGGAGCTCCTATCCTGCAGGTAACTGCGTTGTCATGAAACCCTCCGAGATCAGCAGAAATGTGGAGAGGTTAGTGGCTGAGTCAGGTACCTGGACAAGGTAGGAAAGCTCTCTGCTGCAGCCACCTCCCTCTCCAGGGACACCTGCCCCTCTGCGTCCCAAACCTGCTCGGCAGAGCCACGTCCCCCCGTGCCCCTTCTCTACTCCTGCCCGGCTCTGGTGCCGTACTTCCCAGCTCCCCTCTGTCACAGGACTGCTTTGCCGTGGTGACCGCCGACACGCAGGAGACCACCAGACTGCTGGAGACAAAGTTCGACTACATCTTCTTCACCGGTACGTCCCACAGGGACACTCCAGTCCACCTGTCTCTTCAAGGCAGGGAGATAGGTGTGGGGCCATCCCAGGATGCCTGGTCTGGATCCATTGGGAGCTCTTGACCACACTGGGCTCATGCCACTTCCCCCTGCCCACAGGCAGCCCCTCTGTGGGGTGGCGGCTGCTGCCAAGTACCTGACGCCCGTGACGCTGGAGCTGGGGGGCAAGAACCCCTGCTATGTGTCCGACTCCTGCAACGTGCAGAACGTGGCCCGGCGGGTGGCCTGGGGACGCTTCTTCAACGCAGGGCAGACCTGCGTGGCACCCGACTACGTGCTGTGCAGCACGGAGATGCAGGAGAAGCTGCTGCCTGCCCTGCACGAGGCCATCTCTGAGTTCTACGGCCCCGACCCTCGGGAGTCCCCCGACTTTGCCCGCATCGTGGGGGACAAGCAGTTTCAGCGGGTGCAGGCGCTGCTGTGCAGCGGGCGGGTGGCCATCGGAGGACAGACAGACCCAGAGACACGCTACATCGGTGAGTCCAGAGACACGCTACATCGGTGAGGGTATGGGGTGTACCGCTGGTGGGAGCGCAGAAGTGCAGGGTGGGGGTCCTGTACTGCTGGCGGGAGGGCAGAAACACAGGGTGGGGGTCCTGCTGGATGCAGTTCATGAAACCCAGCCAGGCGGCCCAGGCTCAGCTCTCTCCCCACAGCCCCCACAGTGCTGGTGGATGTGCAGCAGGACGACCCCATCATGCAGGAGGAGATCTTTGGGCCCATCCTGCCCATCCTCACGGTGGCCAGCGTGGATGATGCCATCGCCTTCATCAATGCCCGGGAGCGGCCGCTGGCCCTCTACGTCTTCTCCTCCCGCAAGATGCAGGGAGCAGGATCCCACTCAGCCTGGGCTGCATGGGTCTGGATAGCCACAGGCATCGTCCCCAGTCAGGGGTCCTCCTTTGGCCTTGTCCCTGGTCACGGGAGGAGAGCGCCCTGGTGTCCCCAGCCATGCGTGTCCTGGTGTACCCCAGGCAGCAGGGAGGAGGCAGACAAGGGGTGCTCAGCACTCCCCTGCCCTCCTCCCCCAGGTGGTGAACCAGGTACTGGAGCAGACGAGCAGCGGAGGCTTCTGTGCCAACGACACCATCATGCACATGACACTCACCTCGCTGCCCTTCGGCGGCATTGGTAGGTCCAGCCCCAGGAACAGGGTGCGGTGGGACCCCCATGCCCGCTGCACCCAGTGCCGGCAAGGCCAGGGTCCTGCCTG